CCGCCCAAGAAAAAAAAAAAGAAAAGGAAAAGACAATAAACCCTGGATCTTACCTATATAGTGGTCCTCCGTATTCAGCAGTGTTATAATCCTTTTTTATTGAAGACACTATAGTTGATGGATTGAGGAAACCACTGCACAGTTCATTCTGAAACACTTCTGCTTCTCAAAACGATGTTACAATTTGCTTTTATTCGGCCTCAGAAGAATGACGGTTTCGCATTAAGTAACGCATTAAGTAATCAGTGCTCACCATAAGCAATAAAGAAAAAATGGCAGGATTCATAATATCGTTTTACTCAACGTGTTAGAAAGGCTTAAGTAAAAAATAGATAATCGGTATCATTCATAATATTATTTTACTCAACGGGGTAGAAAGGTTTATATAAACAGTTCCCGAGGCCATGAGTTGGTTCTGTTCACGTAAGCTCTGCTTTCTTGCGACCTATGTAGCCAGTCAGTGGAATACAAGGTTACAATGTTGTCACTTATTTACGGAATTTTTCTGATTCCTGATTTCACTTTTTGTCATTCTCCGACAGAAGTGGCGTTGTCGATTAAACCTCCGCTATAAAAGGGAATTCTTTTGAAGAAAAAAAAAGAAGTACGTATGTATAACAGCGTATTTAGCTGAGAGTGACATGAACTCCAGTGTCAAAGAGGAGTTTAAGTGATTTTCAGATATTACGTCGGGTTTTTTTTTCTTCTCTAAGTCATTACAAAAACGCAGGAGCCGTCAGGATTTCTATGAATATAAACGCACACTTTAATGAAATAGCGTGAAAGATCTCCCGGCGATTTTATGGCCCCGTTTTCTTTGGCGAGATCAGGTGGAAGTTGTATTCGATTAGCAGTATTAACTAATTATTTTGTGCTGGTAAACTATTGAGTAATGTATTGCTCTGCAACCCATTCTGATGAGAAAGAAATGATGCCAAGTGAAAGTATGAACGCTTTATGTACTCGACTTCATTTCTTTTCTTCTAAATTAATAATGCTATTTTCTTGGTTTCACATTGTCGAAAGTACTGTTCCTTTAGCAAGGATTTTGTATTAGAAGTAGATACTCATAAATATCGATTCCAAGTAGTCAGGCACATTCTCTGCCGTATCGCGCCGCCTTTACTTTTGATTTGGTTTTTCGATTGGCTGAGTGCACGCAGAGCCTTAGACCAACAGTCGAGGGTGGCTGCGAAACGGCTCTGAGGCGGTCACTGTTGGCTTAATAGTGCGTGTAACATAGTTCTATGTTGTTCCTGCCGGTAATTGAGATTTTTGAGGGGGGGGGGGAGGAGGGGTGTGTATGTGTGTGTGTGGTGGGGGGGGGGGGGGGGGGGCACAGTAAGTCAGGGCAAATCACACTTAGGGTGCGGTCATGCTGCAAGCCCGCCATACCAGACCACAGTCTAGGTAAAAATCTTCTTTAGTTCGCCATTTGTATGCATGATAAGATAAAAAGTGCATTTCGCGTAATGTCACGAATAGCCGATCCCCCCCCCCCCACTCCCCAAAAAAGACAGAAAAAGAGGAAAATAAAATAAATCCAATCATTTTATAAAATAATACTAATAATAGTAGATGAAAAATGAAATAAGTAAATGAAATAAAGTTTTCTGTTAAAAAAAAAAATAGGCACAGAGAGTGGATATCCGGATGTGCGTAGTTATTCCGAATGGAGTTAGACCTTTTGCAACAACAACAACAACCCCAAAACAAGAGGAACACAGTAGAGCACAGGAAACCACTCTTCCAAACTAACTTCCCGATATTCATTCCCGTCCATCTTTAACGAAGCAAATGATCTATTTCTCGCTCTTAGAATGGCAGGATTCTAACTCGACCATAACGCATTGTTTTGAGGAAAATGGTATTCAAAGGGCCACACTCTAACAGCTAACATGTTTTACGCCTTATTTGTTAAGCTTCAAACTGAAAACAAAATGCAGATCAGATTATCTCGAGCCTTTGACACAGTGTGTAGTGTAGGGCATTTGTGTCTGT